ACGCGGAATAAAGTGCGTTAAGTGTCTAGTGGGTATCGCTATTGGCGCTCGTAATCTTCATGTAAATCGCTTCCCAGATTTTTTGAGGCCGTAAAATCACGCTAATTATCATGCCCGATTATTCGGTTCATTAAACCGCTAATTGGCCGAGTCGGTGCGTTTCAATCAATCTCGCACTACAATTTGCAATGAAATGTGGAACAGACCAAATGATACAGCTCTACTAATTTACATCCCTATAGCGAGAATTCGAATCAAGTATACAAATGCAAAAATAGTTTTGCATGGTGATAATGTTTAAACGTACTAAATAAAGTTTTACTTAAATAAAATTTGTACAATCACAGTCGTTTCCCAATGTACCATTTAAATATCATAACTTCTTTTCTTTTGTTCTCTTTTAACGGTACATTATGGCATTCGTCAATATGTAACGATTGGAATTGAACGAAATTTATTCGCCCCCTGAAAGTTAATATTACAAATTAAATTTCAATAAGTAATGAAATATTATTTTTAAATCAACTTTAATTAAGGCTGAATGGAATTTAACAATAGAAATTGTGGCACATTGTTATCGAGGTAAGTAATATCCATCAAAAATTCTCGATATAATCTACCGTTTATTAATTCAAGTTCTGCATAATGAGAAACAAGCGCCAACGTCAGTGTCTTCTGCGAACAATAGAGAGAATGATCGATGTGGTCTCATAGGAAGTGGCGGTTTCCGATTATTGAACGACATAATGGCGTACGCACTCGTGGAAAAGTGGATTATTCTCACCACTGCGTGTCTAATAGTTGCATGCAAGATTGAGTTGTGAGATTGGGACACGTGATTTCTCTTATCTAATTCAAAGGCGGTGATACATCTTCGAGGGAGAGGGGGGGGGCAGTCAAATAAAACAGATGCGTATTTTACAATAACTCATTAAAAATTATACTGGCAACAAATTGCTGAACTAATTTTTGCTTCTGTACAATCGATATAATTCGTAATATAAGTTT